TGTATCTCGCCATGCGTACCCCGTTTAGTTCACTTTGAATAGCTCTTCCAACATTCTATGGACAAGTCACGTCTTGATCAAGCATTCAGTTTGAAGCTGAAAGAACGTAGATTGATCCCCTGTCAGTGATAATAACAATAAGTGTCCAGAACACTGTTAAAACCGCATTTAGTCGTGGCACTATTGTTTTGACCGATGGCGCCACCCGTGGTGAATCGCTGAAACTGCTAGCCAATTATAGGCTAGCAGTTTCAGCGATTCGCCACGGGTGGCGCCACCGGTCAAAACAATAGTGGTATTCCACGATTAAATGCGATTTTAACAGTGTTCTGGACACTTATTGTTATTATCAATGACAGGGGATTAATCTACGTTCTTCAAGCTATAAATGGAAGGCTTGGTCAAGACGAAAGCTGTCAGTATAACGCTGTAAGCGTTGTCCAAAGTAAACTAAACTGGGGACGCATGACGGGATACAGTGTGAACGGTTGTAAACAATTATGATTTTAACAATGTTCTTGTGATTACTGGTTTCCAGCCGTTAGAGAATAGTAATCTACGTTCTTTAAACGTTGTATCGAATGCAAAACGAAGAAGTATCATGCCCGTTTAGCGGTGTAAATGCCATCGAAATCTGTTGCAAGTAGGTTTGCCGCTCCGTAAGGGGCTACGGTAATCAGGCATAACTAATTTTACTAATTCAGGGGTTCTGCACTATTGGGTCCATGCATTAAGTCCTGAGGGACAATTTGAGACTAAGGACGTTCATTTGAAGTGCTTAATTACTGAGATATTTGCATTTTTCCATCACTAGAAAATTTTCACTCACCTGTCGATATAATTTGGCTAGCAGTTTGAGCGAAGTGCCACGGGTGGCGCCTCCGGTCGAAAAAATAGTGGTATTCCGCAATTAAATGCGATTTTGACAGTGTTCTGGTCGTTTATTATTATTTTCAATGGCAGCTGATTAATCTACGTTCTTTCAGCTACAAATCGAGTGCTGTATCTAAACGAAAGCTATCCGTATAACGGTGTAACAGTTGTTTAAAGTGAACTAAACGGGGTGTGCATGATGGAATACACTGTCAATCCAAACCTGTTGTTGTTAGGGTTGCCACTCCATAAGGGGTCAACGTTAATAGTAGCATAAATAATTGTACTAATTCTGGTGTTCTGCAGTATTGGGTTTACGCATTAAATCGTCAGGAATAATTTGAGACCGACGACGTTCACTTTGAGCGCTTAATTACACCGGAAAATAGTTGGCCAGAATCATTATAATTTGTATGTATATTCCAATAAACATACGTCAGGTAATATAAGCTTCATTTCATCGGATTGTCTTAAATATAACTGCATAACTATTGTACAATCCTATACTAATTATAGTTGTTTGGTTCAACAGGTTACTACAGATACTACATTACTACTGCCTACGTCTTTTAAACTTAGGCTGTAGTAGTATATGCAGAAACTGCCATGATTGCTGGGGTTACTATATAATTTGCTCAGGGAAGCACGCACAAGTGTCAGTCAGATTTCGACAGTTGCATGAGCAATATCAGACCAAGCTCGAGACTCGTACGAGCAACAACTATAAAGAATTACGTTTCAAAACTCTTGCGCTTGCTCCGGGGGTTCTATGACCCCACTTCCACACGTACACGGGGACCCTGGCGCCACCACCGGAGGTTCTATGACCTCACGTTCTCACCACACAGGATCATTTTGCAATTCATGCAATTTTTAGAAGATTGATATTAATTTATGAACCGAGACTATGGTTATACCTACGTAGTGTTGTGAAATTGTAGTATTTTTCGGCTTACAATTTCCCTTGCGGGAATGCCTTACCATAATGAGCCATCTCGTGGCCGCGGGATTTCGGGAATCGGGTGACGTCACGGCGTGCGAGCGAGAACAGTGAAAAATATTTAAAGAATTTAAACGACAATGATTTATCATTTATTGTAATACCCAATGAAGAAAATGGAATACAGTTTTATCGGTCAGGCATTCTATCCAGAAATCTTGAGATCCAATTCCGCTGCGGCTCATAAAAAAATCGTGTTTCAACGGTATATAAAACAATTAGTTACGTTCGAGCGAGGTCGCGTAATATAAAACAATGGCTCTTGATTAGTTATTACAACATGTCATTTAAATTACGCTAACAAAAATATAACTCTTATTACCAGTGATAATAATCGTTCATCCATATAAGTAAAATATCTTTGCAGTCACTTATGCACCTACAAATAAATATATATATATATGTATATATATATGTGTATAGTATATCTTAACATTTATGTTGTCATATACATACATATATAGGGTATTTCCTGCATAACTTTACTGGTTGGCCTAGCAACAAATAACACTTTCAATATTCAAAAAAAGAAATGTTATTAGTTTTTCAAGTTGGACTGCATAATGTAAAAACTAGAATAAATTTTATTACAAGATTTCTGTTCAAACTTCTTCTTTTAATGTTACTCTCACAGCCCATCGACAAACCAATAAAGTTATAAACTTGTGAAACACCCCATACATACATGTATATGTATACATGTACGTGGTAAAATTCTTAGAGACATGTATGCATATACAATATATACCTACACGGTATATTATATATTTGTATACAGAGCTACAGTCGTGCCACTTTACAACGATACAAACAGTCGATATTAATAAATTGTCTCCACATCACAATGAAGACAGTGTGGATAAATAATACATGGATGCTTTTTCTTTATGCCAGGACTAGATCAATGGTAGATCTCCGAATGACTATAATATTATTGAAACAGTCAAGGAACAATGATGGCACAACAATGAATTAATTGATTATTAATCTAATTCCGTCTGATATCGAATCACGAAGCTCAGAGAAAAGAAAAGAAGAAATCATCCATCATCCATGGCGATCCGAGGATTATCTTTGACCTACGTTTCTTTTTAGACATCGTTGCTTAAAATAGTACGAGATTGAATCCCCAATCGGGCTGAGTAACTGTCATCATAATTATTCGTAACAATAAACGACGCGATAATTCCAATTGTGACTGATTACAAAATTAGTCGTTTTTATCCTCGACCGATAGCCGGCCGATAGTTATTCATGTAATCACAAACGTTAAGCGCACAATTCTCGAGAAACGCATTGATAACTAACGTCAACACCCTTCGCAACAGAGCTATCTGTTTGTTCACGTGGAAGGGGCTACTTTTATTATCATCTGGACAGCTCTTCCGTCAACGAAGTATGTAACTAACTAGTAAATTATAATTTAATCGTCATCCATGACCATTGCAGCGATTTCTATGTACATTTGTTCATATTTAGACTGCCATTGATCATTGAAGACATGGAACTATGCGGTAAGAGGGAATAAGCGTTTTTGTACCAACGTTTACCAGAATCACTCACAGGACTACTCAATAAACAACATACAAAACGGTGTTACACTTTTACGATACTCTTTCCCCCCTTCAGCTCGCCTTAGAAATCGATATGAAGTACATTGAAAATAACATAGCACCGAAGGAACTTGGCTGTGACAGTATGCATCACTACATAGTTCCTGGCAATAGAGTACTAACAAGGCTTACAAGCTAAATTAAGTACTAACAATATGTCACGATGAATGTCAGTTTTTTTTTCCCTCGATAACAACGAAGAGATTCAGGTAACAATTTCTTCAACGGTTTCGTATATCCCTTACGAATTACTAACAGAGCGGTGGTTTGACTATGGTATAAGATGATTGTACATACACCATTTTTTTTTTATTCGCTAGATTCAAACGGAAACTCCTCTACGGACAGTGCTTTTTTTCTAGAGAATCGTGCCTTCCTTTATTCGTCATTCACAGTAGGAACTAGTCGCTTTTACTCATCGAGCTATCATACAAAAATTTTGATCATGTTTGATCACGGTTTGCAAAAGACGCTATTATCGGTACAGCATTCTTCGATCGTTTTATAAAGAGTGAGTCAGAAAGTCGCTAGAAAAAAAGCTCTGGTACACGCCCGGTAGAAAAATTAATTACAACGCATTGATTTCCAGTTTCATCGTAACGAAGGACACCATTCGATCGTCTTTGAGTGTAGGAGAAAGTCCTCGTACGTTCGAACGTCTGTTTTACCATCGGATAGATCAGTTACAGGAAGAAGTCTGTGGCCACAGCTTTCACTTCCGGATGTTGTCGAGCTTCGAATCTGATCATTCTAAAAGACCACGGTGTACAATTCACAGGTATACAGAGTGGATATAAAAATGGAGTAACAAAGTTAGATCTTTCTTTAAATTGTTGAGCATGCGACGTCGATTGAAAATGTACGAGGACTTTTTCGATTTGGCTGTATTCTAGGAGTGATCCTCCTCGTGTGATTCTCAATCAATTCACCGCCGGGATTCGAAGAATGACCGGCAGCGAGCGAACCGTCAGAGTTTCTTCGGTGCCGTGGATCTGATGGTTGGAGTGGTTTGAGGTGACATCGGTGGCCCGACGCTCGTCGATCGTTCCAAAGGCAACATCATTTTGCTCGGTATGGGTTGAGATATTGCACGCTTGGCCAATCTGAAAGAACTATCGTTGTTTGGTGTGAGTAGACACATAAGTAACGAACCATCTCTTTAAGTTTCAGAATTTTGCATATTAGTAGTGTATACAGCGTGTATTGTTAACTTATCTGAGGTACTTGCTATGCTGCTCAAAATAAATGGAATACTCATCATTCTGAGCAACATACGCTTAAGCGCCTCCTAACGTTAAAGATACATTAAAATTGTTAAAAATTGGCAAAACAGGGTAAGCATCAATAGAGTCTGATTCACTATCAGCCGCAGGGTATCATAAATCATGCTTGAGGACATAAGTAAAAGTTCCCTATCAAGTTTCCGGGAAGTTAAAGCAGACATTCAAATTCCCAGAACATTGTGAGTTAAACGAATATGTAGTCCGTTTGCAATTATTTCTGGTTAAACATTACCATGATGACAGAACAGATTTCTCTACTCTCTAAGGCTAAATCTAGGATACATGTACGTTTCAGTGACTTCTTGAATGCTATTGGACTGTAGTAGAATTGTGAAAAGTATGGTTGCGTCTATCAACGAGATAGGTGTAGATCGCCAGTTGTGGAAGCAGATGAAAACATGGATTAGCAGCGTAGTAGAATTAGTAGTGTGTTTGGATGTTCATACTGGAAGCGTGACGCAACATCTCCGTGAATAAGAAGCACTGGTGCATGATGGGAATGACGATGAACACGAACGGCTGTTCCGTCTGCAATAACAGCGATGTAGAGTGGATCATTTAATCATTCCTTGAACGATGAAACAAACGAACGTGTAAGTACATCCTCCATTGTCGATGTAACCATTCAGAATCATGTTCAACGTATTGTTGTTCGAAATTTTCTTCTGAAGAGCTCCTACAATGGAAGTTGCTTAAGCACAAAGAATGTTAGAATGTATTATGAAATTAGAAGAGTCGATTTAGTTTAATCTTGTTGATCACGGAATGACAAGAACAAAGCTGGTTGACTCGTGAGTGTGTAGCAGTAGTTTCAATTGCTGTAGGATCTGCATATCCGCTCCTGCCGAGGATCAATATACAGCTACAAAACATACTCGAATACAGCGTTGTGAATTTTAGTAAAGTTTCTGTTTTAATAGACAACATAAATATATGTTCAATTCCACTTCTTATGGTTTAGTGTATAGTAGTATGAATTTACATAAACGTCTACAATCTAGTAGTATACCGTCGTGTCCATGAGTTGTGGTGTTATTTGAAATGGCATTCGCATGTATAATCATGCATCGTGTCAGAGCTTTTGTACTGTTACAAGTTCGAAACGTGCTGTTAGTCTTTTGTACAAGCGGATGTCTTAACCTGATCTACCACCAAACCAAACCACATCTGATCAGCGGGAAATTATCGTTAAAAAAAAACTGTAAATCAAAATGAAAAAGGGTAATTTGTCGGTGGTGGATCCAGCTGAATGTTTTTGTCTGTAACACATACATTCGCCTAACAAATCTCAAGCGGTAAGGGACGCTGTTTTACCTTGGTTGCTAAAGTGAGATCAGACCATTTCAGGAGGTAACGAAAATACGATTTACGTCTCTGTACATCTAGACACTCATACGCCGATTAACCACAAATTCTGGACATATGTACGGCTGACAGATAAAACATTTAAGTTTGAGCGTAGAACGGCGACGGCACTTGCCGCGTGACACGACGTATCTTCATAACAGGTACCTGTAACGAAGGAACTAATAAGCTTTTAGACATTGCTCGGCTGACGAATGCGAGGGAAACGTATTAAGAGTGATAGAAAGATTAGTCGGCGAGGAGGTCTTTCTCTATATTGAAAAACGTGAAGTTACTTCTATCTGTAAGAACCCAGCGGTCACCACTAACACAACAAGCGAAGAAAGAAAAGGGAGGAAAATGACGATAATACCAGCATGAACGATACTGTACATAGATTATACATGAGTTAGATGTAACTACAGAAGATTTGTTCCAATTCGAATTAAATGTTGTCGCACAATTAACTGCTGTGTTGTGTAAACACCACAGCGGGGCCATATCATGTGCTTATATCTGAACATACGATATAGACTTACACTCTGATGGCACGTATTATAAAAATACGAAGTCGGGTTGATTGTTACTTTGCTGGTCTGTATCGTTTGTCAAGACTCTTACCGATTATATCATACCACTACTTAGATTATTCATAGTTTATGTACCTTGTTCTCGTAGTTACGATTGTTTTTACAAATCTCTCGACTATATTGGTTTTAGATAACATGGATTCGGGCGCGAGTACGAAGAACGCACCATCATCGCCTCTGAAACAACTACTTTAGCTTGAAACGTTTTCGTACTGACGTTGCAGTACTTGACTTATAAAAATACAGCGTTATCTATGTACAGATAATAGAGCGCTTTTGATTAATCTCCGAAATGCCTTCCGCCCCACTCTGCGCGTCCTCTTTCTAGGAGACAACATTTATCACGACACTTCCACCGTTCTGCAGCGAGCGAAACGTCTGAACGTCGGGGATAGCAAGGATCGAATGAATTATTACCTTAAAAATGTCCACACATCACGACAAGATGTAATCTGATAAAACACAATATCGGCATCGGGTTTCTTCGCAGAATAGATCACTCACCTTCTTCGTCGTAGAGAGGCATTTTGTCCGGGTAAACCGAACTGACCTCTTGGGATCACCATGCGAGCGTTACCCTGTGCGGGCCTCGAGCCTCCATAGGCCTGTAGCATAGTCAAATGAGCGGCATAGCCGTCATGAAGAATCGTAGCGAGAACGTGATGCTTCTTTGGTACTTTGCCAATGATGAAAATTTCACTGGGCTTAAGATTAATCGCAGTGTAGACGCTAATGTCTTTGCTACTGCCGTATGCGTGATGAATTATTACACCATGTTCCTAGAAGAAGAAAAAGTAATATTTATTTTATTGTATTATCAAATTATGTATTAATATATTTAATCTAGCTCCCATTATTTTCGTTGTTTATCATAGAATACGTGACAGGACTATATCGCACAAACTGCCATAGTCTATTCTACCTTTCGCTAAAGATCAAGAATGATGTATCTTTAGATAACTGTTTACCTGCACGAGTCTGTTTAAGTACGCAGCTTTATGACCCAATGGATCCGTCGAAAGACCATCCGCGAAGGATACAAGACCGTGAGGAAAATTGTGTTGTGACAACCAGGAAACAACCTTCTGCTGTTGCATGTCAGGTCTCGCGGTAATATAAATAATTAAGTAACCCAATTCTTGCCAGTGCCTAAACGAATCAATCAGAGATCAGTAAATCACGAACAGGAGAGAATTCATTTTTATACGTCATCGTTTTCGGGATATACCTGACTACATCAACAGCTCCCGCTCTCACTTTCGGATCTTTGCCGCTAACCGACATACTAGCGGTAAACGAACCGTCTATGCTGAAAACCACACACTCTGTTTTTGGTGGAATCACAGCCAAGAAAAAGTCAACGGATGTATGGTCACCTCTAAGAAAACAAGTTCATACGTATTACCGGATAATACCTTCTTAGAATTTCTAGATTGATAATATTACCTGACAATCATTTTAATGGGATAAATTCCATAGCCCAGTGCTTTGTCATCGGGTATTTTATATGTTATTCTACCAGTTTTATCAGTTACTTCTGTCGATAAGTACGTCCATTCTCCTGCAGGAGCATCCTTCATGATATGGATGTCCACTTTTTCGCCTGTAGGAATTGATTATAGTCACATGAAATGTCAAAAACACGCATTTCATATGGAATTATATTCAATATACCTGTCAAAGCAATAACATCTATTGGACTATACATAAATCTAGCAATCAACACTTGAGATGATCCTTCTTTAACAATTACATCATTTGCTCTATGATTGGCAGCAACATTCTAGTTCAATGAAAAACGTTATTAGCTGATGTACAAAGAAGACAATATTTTCGATGATATTCCTTGTTTTATTGAAGCTAACTTACTTTCAGTTTAACGGAGGTACGTTTCTTGTTCCACTTTTCTCTGGGCTGACCTGGACGGAAGCAAGATAATTCTTTCTCTTCGTTAGTGAGTATTGGTAAATCGAATCTGCCTAACTGTCGCAAAATGAACGCGATGACATCATAAGATTCCCAGTAACTAGCATGGAAGAGATGAGGTAAAGCATTCATAGGAAAATTCGCTAAACCCTCTGGACAGTAAAGCGCATAATCCAGTCTCTTTGCACCCCACCATTTTTGCGTTACTGCAACAATTGTTCAGTGTAAAAATGAAAATTATTCATGTTCGGAATATTAAATAACGTCATTTACTTTTTACTCACAATTAGATACTACTTGTAAAGGAACATTTTCAACCATACCGGACATGGTACTGTGAATCGATATATCGGATAGCCTTCTTATATGCGACATGGACATATTTGGAATGTTAAGACCATCCGTGAATAACTGTGGATTCGATTGGATTGTCTCCACTGAAAGTAAGAAATTATTTAGAATATTCTTCTTTCTATTTATAACCTTAAACAAGATGTACATACATAAGTGGTAAGGCTGACCATTCCCAAGGGGGTACTTTTGATACCGAGCCACATTAACTGGTGGAATGAGAGAAAACCTTGCAGAGATCAGTGGCTCTAGTCTAGCAGCTACAGGATCAGTAGGATGGAATAAGTTGTACACCTGATTCACCAACGGCCTGTTTATATTACTATTTTTATCACTGCTTGTGGAAATTTTCCTATATGCCAGAACTAAAGCAAGTGGACTACCAAACATGAAAAAGTCTCCTACTTCAAAGTCCAGTTTAGAATGTTGAAAATCGCTAAAAAGAGGAAAGTATATTAATCTACCGACAGCAGATTTTCATAACTTCGACGAATGTATATATCTCACCTTATACTAGAAGATTTTCTTCTGGGAGAAGGTGCAGTCAAGTGTCTTCCACAATCACTGTTTTCAGTCGCTTGACCGTCCAAGATATTGTTTTCGCTATTGTGTCTAGAGTGAGTTGATCTACATAAGGCGTCATAAGTTAAAATCGCTCCTACTGAGTCTCCGATGAAACAAATCTGTCCCGTGAACCCACGGCCCTCCTCGCTTCTTATGAACTCATTGTAAACTTGATTGGCTCCGGTTATAATTCGTGACACTGCGTCCTGATATTCCGTCGTAGAGCTAGCAAGCAGTGGTATTGCACCAATTGGTATTGTGTCATGGGTCACAGGAGGTGCATTCACAGAGGAAGGTGATACGTCAAAGCTGTATGGACTTAGACTGGAAAGAAATACATTAAAGCACCATGAATTCAGATTGAATATACAACAACCGAAACAACATATATTAAGTACAAAAACTCAGATTCGTTGAAACTGATCGTTTCAGTTTTTACCTCGATAAAATACCAAGACCTTCGGTGCAGATTGAAGGGCAGGAAACAAACCTAATAGCGACATGACCAACCATACTGGGGTAGTGTTGTCTCATGACTGATTCAAAGGCGCCTTTGAAAGTTGTGATGTCCGATTTTTTTGCAGTTAAGTCTACATTAGCGTCTAAAATGTTTCAACATCGTATATTGTATGAAATTAATCAATCAATTAACAAATTAAGTGATACGTCTTAAATGAATTTATTTTAATTACCTAATACGCTTCCAGCATGCATCACAATAAGAAGCACGGTAGTTTTGCATGGTTGATGAGTCGGGGAATGTTGAGGCGAAGCTGGACACGAGACGTCGATGCTAGCCGACGCAGAGATTTGCAGTCTTTTACTGCTACGTTCACAAGCCATTCGGTGGAGGTAAGACGGTGAGAATATTGTATCATCTATAAATGAAGATCGAAATGACTCGCAACGATAGTTTCATGAATCTGTTAATATCCTGATGAACCATTATGATTTTACCTTCTTTATCTGCTGACGTGGGCGAAACGACCGTACTGTCCTCCTCTTCTGCTAGAAGATCCAAAGAACTCCATTTAGCTAATGAAGAGTTATCTCCAAAGTCCTCTGTGTAACCAAAAATTTGAACATTGCTTATGCATTGTGCCTTTTTAAGCAATCGTGACACGTGTTAATATAGGATACAAAAGAACGCAAATCGGGATGTCAGCTTTCTCAGATCAGAACAGGCGTCACAGGAAGCAAATAAATAGGAACGTTAACTAGTTTGTAGCATTCTGCTGTGTTAAATAGATATGGTACTCTAGAAAAGATATGTTGTACTCATAATCTACAGAGCCATGCTGTCCCATGCTGTTAAAAATTGTTATTAGAATTTCCATGCTTGAAGCTATATACAGATGTCTGTCTACAATATAGCTGATCAGACCCTCTGTAAGTATAACAATTTCTCTAGGCAATCAAATTTACTTTACTCTCCTCTAAAAAGGCATAAATGCAATTGTACAATGTTTGAATCTTGTACACAGAATACTATAATAACACTAACGTCAAGTGTCGATAATTAATTCTTGAAGTATATCTTCGAACGGAACACTTTAAAGTGCTCACACTTCTAAGAAGATTTATCTACATGTCCTACCTGCATGTATAATAGGTATAACGAACCCAGCTGCAGTGTGGAATGCGATTTAAAAAAAAACAGAGAGGGTATACATCAAACAAATACAAGATGTCAAAAGATACCAGCTCATGCTGTATTCGCCACTGGCAAAATGCGAACTTCCAAAAGACACATTTCTATCCAGATGATTGTTTTCGAATTTGTTTACACTTGAACGTGAATGATGTAGTGTCTAAGAAATTCGCTGTACCAGCTGTTTTAAAGATGAGTTTTCTTCAGCCAAATGTTTACTGTTTGTGCATGTTAGACTTTTTGGAAAGAACTATCACCATGCTTCGCAAGGTGAACGGATAGTTTACCTTGACAATCGAAAAATTCCTCTTCGCTGCCAGACTCGGATTCCCTCACGATACTCTCCATCCGCCAGTTCGCTATCTGCATGTCGAAACTCTTATTCGAGCATGGCGAATGCACCATCGTCTTGTTTTTTTTCCATCCTCTCCTAGGGTCCCCTTTGTCCTCAGCAGGAGCGCTTCTGAAAATGGTTCGATCACTGTAAATAATATACTTCACTGAACGGGATTCCACTGAAGCAAAAAGATTCTTGATTTTACTTCAAATTTTACCTAAGTTCAGGTACTTCGGTGGGAGAGTCTTCAGGGCTGGGTTCACCCTCGGAACTGCCAGCTGTGTTCGACATAGGTATGTCAGAAGATTTTCGAACGCTCGGTGGACTCTGAAGATCTTCATTCTTCTCGATACTTCCAAGGGTAGCAGCCAAAGTAGCGGCGACATCTGAATCTTGTGGAGTGGCATTCGTAGCGTTCTCTTGGTTCTCATCGGTTGTGTCCTCGCCGCCTTCGACAGCACCCATTCTTTTCTGCAGTGCCACTTGAGTTTGCTTCTCGATTTCTCGGATATCCTCCATAGTTAAACCATTCCATTCGTCTTGCCAGGCCCACGCTTGCTTGTGGGCTCGTACCATGGTTTTCCGTAACGCTGAAAATGTCCCGAGCACATTCGATATCATACCAGAAAGAGAAGGAAATCCACTGAACGTCGAAAGATAGAAAAACGAGCTGGTTGTATATCTATACAGTACTGACCTATATCGTGTAGAAATTTTTCTAACTTTGTTTGCACGCCCCAATAGCGAAACTCTACGCGACAAAGCTTGTAGGCGCACATTAAAGATTTTCCGGACGGCGTTGGCTGTTGTTTTCCCTGAATCAAAAAGTTCTAATGTATAACTATTGCTTACGATAGGACAAGACATAATTAGCCAGTTAACACCATTTCCACAATTATCTAGAATGTCAACGTGCACAGTGTAAAATTGAAAGCGACAAATCCTGGGGTGATGGAGTAATCGAAGTATATATGGTAAGTGTAGGTCCATCTAGCAATCTTGAACGACAAATTGATTATTATCTAACTATACACGAATCGTTTAGAACGTTGTAAAAAAAGACTTATGTACTTTCACGTCTGCCCAATAGTCTTCCAGCCATGATTCTGTAAGCGGTCCTCTACCAGTTTTCTGAGACACGTACAACTTCGGGTCCTCCTCCTTCACGTAGTCACCAACGTATTGATCCTTGACGATATCGATTACGTCTGAAATACGATTATGTAGCCGAGACGGTTCATGGGTTTTAGCGTTACTGTACTAAAGTTTCGATCCTAAACAATAAGTATGTACCAACGATTCGATTTCTCAGATCGCTACCACTGAGTTTGAACACATTCTCCTGATATCCGTTGTCAGGAAAATAGTACGTTTCTATCTCAATACGGGTCTTCGGGTAGGGATAGGAGTTCCATGCTTCTTCTTTGGCGATCAACGCCGACCTGGGTAGCAAACTCTTGAACCATTCCGGCAGATGACTGCCCACATGGTAAATCTTGTGTGTGTACTGTCCGTTTCCCCCTGGACCGTTGCTGTAAGGTTCATTTACTATGATCTCGACACCGCTGCCTGCTCCTTGACTCTCTTCGCGAGACTTTTTCTACAACAGTTAGATATTTCAATAAATAATTTTACTTCGCCCGATTTGAGAAGACATGCTACCCCAACGGTTTGTATTCAAGGTGTAATTACCGCTATCATATATAGCTGAGCGATTCTGTATTCCTCTACAGTGAGAGGCAGCGGTATTCGATACTCCTTTATCAACATTTTGCGGTTCCTATCCTATCTTCTATCTGCTTCAGGAAAAAGTGCTTGTCGCTCCCAGGTTCTCGTTTCCGTTTTACGATGCAACTTCATGATACCATAGGTACGATACTTGGGGGGGAACAGAACGAAAGAAGAATTAGGACTCAAAAAATGAAACTTCGACGTGAAGGTGTCGCGCGAGTATGTTCAATAAAAGTTTAATTACCGTCCCAGTGATCTGATCAACTTGTGACCATAAAATCACGCGTTATCAGTCTATTGCAGGGACGACTCAAGCAAGATTCTATCTACGTTCGAATCCATCGGATATTCGACGAAAAACGCGCAGTATAGAGGCTCGCGGGTGCCTTTCCTTTCTCGTGCATTAGAATTAGGACTTCCTGAGCATCGACTGGCGGTTTTTTTGTTCAGTCTATAATTGAAGCACATCAAATGCCGAATCGTCGTGTTTTTACCACACGTTTCCACGCAAATCCCCGCTGGGGGTCGGTCGCGGCCAGTTCAGGGGCCATTAATAACGATGTTGTAATCGATTCTGATAATGCAATTATTATTAATAAATTGTAACACCGTAGTGTACGTGTTAAAACTTTTTATTTAATGCAAATTTATAATTTTGATTTTATACAGTACATAATTATAGTAAAATAAAGGCAGCATAATTTATTTCGTAATATTTACATAAAGTACACGTGTACTTTCATAAAGGTACTTCGTAATACAAAGTTCATGTGTATCTAATTTATGTAGAGGACATAAATAACACAGAAGATGTTCGATCTCCTACGAATTCACAAGAAACTCATGAGCCACCAATCACCAACACTAATGCCGCGAGCCCACGGAAACCAAACCACGAATTCCTCCGGCAGCGGTCGGAGCAATAAACAAAATCTTGCGTAAGATCCTTATTTATACCCAACCCGTACTACGTTCATCGTATGCACGCGAAATTTGTTGCTTTTAGCGGTAAAATTTACCCTCCAAACCGGTTTTTGAAAATTCCAATAAATAACGATAAAACGCCCCTCGAACGGGAACAATTTATTTCGAACTAGAGCACGATAAAAGAACGTTGTATCTATAATTCAAAAACTCCACTTCCGGCGATAAAATTTACCACTGTCAGCGAGCTCAACGTATCCAATGAATTTTAAATTTAACACAGGATACACGATCGTAAATTCGTTTGTATTTATAACCGTAGGATCCCATTAAAGACTTTTTTCAAATGTTTCATTCGAAACGATTAATATGCCTGCCCGTGTTTCGACACATTCGTCGATCCTGAAAAACGCATTTGAAAAATAGTTTTGTTCCCGACAGGTTCGTAGCAGCGCCCGAGACAGCAGTCCCCTATTGGATCGCAACCTGTCAGATCGGACCAATCGTTTCCGGTGAGTCTGAACTGACAGATTCCCAACGGCTCGAACATCGGACGAGTCTGCTGTGCCGCTGATAATCGAGCTGATACATAAATATATTCGGCGGCGTATCGACGTACTTACAGGCATAGGGTTTCCTTAACCTTGAGCATCGCGGAAATGGGACAGAGCGATGGTCGGTGTGACCGGGCGATTGTTATATGCTTCTTGATCTCGCTGGTGCACCGTACTTTTCGCGCCACACCTTTCAGACAGAGGTAATTCGCGGGAAGCCGAAATAACTGGACCACAAGTTGGTATGTACACCTTGATCGACGAACGACCTGGCAGTATCGATGAAGTAACTAACGACACGAATATCGGGATGCTTACTAGCTCCTATTGTATACCGAATCAATTTTCCAGTGAGATTTTTCAAGAGAGAATCGTGTCACCGTTTCTTCCAAACAAGGGGGTCACTCGTACGAGTCCCGTCTCACTGTCACATCGTTGGAGTGTACCAGGTTAGACAGCACGAAAGGCACGGTCGTTGAATAAGACTCGTTTTCTCTGACAGGCAAAGAAATCTTTGGGGAAAAGTAACCAAAGGAAGGAGACGGTGAGATGATAGTGAGTTTCTTTTGAAGGATGGTTTGTACGCTGAAAAGAAGTTTTCAATGGATCGTGGAGGGCGAACCGCGACCTGAAAACGATACGACGTTACGTGGGCAACGCGCGGCCACTGACTGACGGGCCGGAGGTCGCTCCGATTGGCGGGCCCGTTGGCACGCGCGACTTCTCGAACCCGCGAAATCGAGCTGGACCAATAGGAGCGCCCCCTGCCGCCCCCGTGGCCCGGCAATCCGGATGCAGTGCCGTAAAATTGAGGCGGAAGCCCCTAGATTTCCTCGAGTACACCGAGATATAATCGCATACTTTTTGTTTTCTTATTCGATTAATACTCCAATATATATACAGAACAAATTTTTTTTAACAGAATTAGATGCATCAACGTGACAAATATGTAACAACTACGTGTAAGTACCTTATTCCGGTATTCGGGAACATTTATGTTATCATTACATAGAATCATAGGTGAAACCACTATGGAGATAAAAGATCTAGAGTAACGAGTAATAGATGAGACAATTTGTCTCAAATCTCTCTCTCTCTTTTTTTGATTTCAAAATAAAACAATATTTCACTACGAATGATTAAACAAAGTATAAGCCTATATATATACCGTATCTATTCGTTATCTCTGTGTATTCACGGAAAAATCTAGTCTGTCCCTATCGTAGATACAGTTTTGATACCCCAACGTAATGAAGTACGGCTAAAAGCGTTACCAAGAGAATTTCAAGTCATTTCACGAGCTTCTTAATTACAGGTGATTAGCAATGCAAATTCTCGAAGCCGTCACTGGATGGACAGCCGCCTCCGCCGCCTCCCTGGCCTATTGATCGATCTCCCCCCGAGTGAGCGAGAAAACGCAAGACCAGATGCGCCATAACACACCAGGCGAGCTTCCCCGCGAAGAAGACGAGACGCGGCACGCGTGCCGACAGGATTGCACGCTTTGTTCCGTTCGGGGGTCGAATTGGTAACCCCTTGCCCTACGATTTTCTTGACGTGTACACAGGATTACATTATTGTCGATAGTTTCCCAGAACCGAAAAGAATTCTGTACTTATCGCAACTGTATTTTTACTGTGAAAGTTAACCCTCTGCACCCGACTGACCCCTTGAAGGGCAAAATGTATGGAAAATTAAAAATTCCAAAGTGCAAAGGGTTAAATATAAACGCCAACAACGTGGCATTTCACCTCGATTCAAAGAAAACTGAATAATATTCTTTTTTGTTGAATCAATTTTGAATTTCGTCAACACGAGTCTGACTAGATGTTATACGACAAGGGTTAAAACAGTACGCGCCATTTCCCCCCAGGGTGTCGCTTTACGAGGCTCGAATGAACGCTTTGATCCACCCACACGATCTGTGCATACACTTTCTCAACCGTAGATCGTCCATCTTTTCCCCCCTTTTTGTCCCCGTGAATAGTTAAATGGGAAAAGCACTGCCATTCACTACAGGGGGAAGCGAGATGAGGCTTGTTTATCCTCGCGCGCAACACCTCTTTCCGGACACCCTTCCAAGAAACATCTTTTTATAGAGAAGAAGGCGGTTAAGAGCCCCTTGGAAGTTTGTCGGTGGTCGGATGGGAGGAGCAAAAATAACGACAGGCGAGCGTTATTTTAATTCGTTGATTTCGGCGTAGGTTAGGGTACCGTCGCAGATTTAGAAACTGGTTTATTGGTAGACTATCTCGGGCTCGTAGAACGTACTACATATGGATCATTGAATAGGTTAGCAAATGGGAAATGTTATCGGGTCGCGATGGCTGCGGATGCGGAGCAAAATCCAGAAACCCAGAATCTCACCCCCACTACTTAGATTTAAAAAGAGATGTCGAAAGCTATCTACCTTTTTCTAAACTTAGTACGCCCGTTTCAGGGAGATGTGCAGTCTAGATTGCTACGTCTATGCTTCAACCTGAGGTGTACAGGAACAGAAAGAAAAAAACTGTTGACACGAGACGGTCGGAGAAGGAAATACAATAAGGAAGGATGATGCAATTACGGTGCAAAGAGCGAGGTTCGGAAAGAGGGAACATGGCACGATGAAATTGCGCAAAATATCGGCACGATGACGCTGCAACGGGAAATTGCATTTGTGCATAATCGAGCGCGGTAGAATATAATGTAATGTGGCATTTTATCGAAATTCGTATCGAGTTAACCAGGTTGGTTTGTACAGCCGCGCCTGCCTATATCGTCGCCGATGAAGAAAACTGACCTTTGACATTTTAGTGGAGAGGAACCCGGCCCCCGGGATGGGAGAGCACTCTCTCGGCGATACTCCTTGACGTTGAATCAACAATGTTACGTACAGGGCCGGGGCCGAATTCGGTCTATTCACCGATAGATGAAAGAGAAGAATGAAATTCATCTATCAAAAGGATAGATGACGCTCTTACCAGTGATTTGGCACAAAAGCGCCGGGGGGTTGCTCGATGGACGGGGTGAAAACCATCCCCCTCCCCTCTTTTGTGAACCGCGGACACGGGCGATATAAGCCAGGGAGTAGACATTTTTGTTCGAACAGAGAGACAAGCGGGGGTTTTGTTCGTACAAAAGTTTCAAACGCGAAAGGAACAAAATATTACTCTATCTCTTGAGTTAAAAAAGACTTGGGATCGCTTCGATAAAAGTTTGAGGTACTCTTTTAGAAATAAAAATAAAAAAAGGGAACAAGCTAACCTTTGTGTACCGTTAAAAAGCATATGTTTAATGATCCTTTTTCGAAAGCCCCGATTGTGGTCTATTTTCGTTCGTACCTTGGTACGGTTAAGGGGTTAAAAGGAACATTTCTTGTGTTTTGTTTCAATCTGAAACCTGTGCATTTGTCATACTACAGTAAGTAGAAACGGGATGTAATGATCAGACGCGTTAGCCAAGTCCTATTCAATTACAGTCATTGCTCGCGTATCCGGCGGATATTCGAAGTTGATTTTCTCGAAAACAAAGTCTGAAATGGAACAAGTTTATTGCATATTTTCGACTTATTTCCTCATGTACCATCAATACAGGGACACCCTGTATATTACAGGCTTTTGTATCTGATTTTCAGTTTACTTCATCGTATTCCCAGGAAAAGCTCACAAATGTGCCTACGATTTTCAA